GGGGTATCATGCTGCAGCTTGGGCAGGGTGAGGAGCCTGTGACCCCAGCTACAGGAAATGAGGGGTATCATGCTGCAGCCAGGGCAGGGTGAGGAGCCTGCGACCCCAGCTACAGGAAATGAGGGGTATCATGCTGCAGCCTGGGCAGGGTAAGGAGCCTGCGACCCCAGATACAGGAAATGAGGGGTATCATGCTGCAGCCTGGGCAGGGTGAGGAGCCTGTGACCCCAGCTACAGGAAATGAGGGGTATCATGCTGCAGCCTGGGCAGGGTGAGGAGCCTGCGACCCCAGCTACAGGAAATGAGGGGTATCATGCTGCAGCCTGGGCAGGGTAAGGAGCCTGCGACCCCAGCTGTGGAGCATTGATAATATAATAATATAAGTGTATCGGACAAATGAATGAGACGTGGTTAGCGAAAAGACCTATAAAACAGATACTGTTCTTAATAATACCTTTTTGGAAATACACTGTACACTCTTTCCACATACAAGGCAGCACACTCAATCGACAAACCATAAACAGCTCTGTGCCACTGAAATGAGCTTAAATAACGTCAGAACGCTATCAGAAAAAGCGTCCCTCTCCAGCGCTATGCGTGGCCTTACATAATCGTCCGTGGGCACACAAAAACCATGGATTAAAATGCAGCATCAAATCGCTGTCCCAGTTCACTCTTTTTGGCAGCAATGCTCCCCCCCAGCACCAAGAACCTCCAGTCCCCTGTTATCACAACTCACCCGTCATACTAAAAAAAGCAAAGCAAGAGAAATCAGGGCAAAAAATATGTTTCTGTGTGTTCATGGAACCAAAGATCCCTGTTTAAAAGGGTCAGTCACGGAAACAAACACAGTATAGAAACAGTCATTTGGAAAAACCCTAAAACTGACTAAAAACAATTAACACTCACTGTGGATGAGTCCATTGACAGACCATCCTGGTTCAACACATTGGCTTTTTAAAACACAAATGGATAAGAACAAAACTGGATGTCATTGTTCAGATAAGCAAGACAAGTAATTAACCCTGAAGTCAATAACTGAGGCATAATAAGATTAGGAAATAAAACATGGCTAAGATTGACCCCAGTAGTCACTATGTACTGCGTGCCTCATTTCCAGTTAACAACCCAAAACTTTAAATGTTACTTTAAACGTGTAACCGGGCCCGTCACTTGCAGACTAACCCAACATGCACAATGCTTACTTTTGTGGTTGGTCATTGCCTCATTCAAGTCTTTCTATTCAAATTTAGTTTGCCATTTTTCAGCAGGCATTGCAGTGTATCGATGAATTGTTCTGACTATTCCTGGTGCCTCCGTTTCAAATCTGGGGTGCAGGGAAGAGCCTCCATCGCCTTGGTGAAACACGAACATGCATCCCTTAGAGTTAACTTGATTTCTTCAAGTTTAGTGAACCGGCCTCCCTGAAAGAGCAGTCGACATGATTAAGAGTTTCCTCAGAGGGACGTGAGTCTTTGTCAGCTTTTCGTTAATGTATAAATGGGAGGCAAGCCTTAATTACCATAATGTTCTAGCTCTTAATTTTTTAAACACCAGCAATAGGCATATTCTTCTGGTAAGAAATCTATGCCCAGGGAATAGCCCACTTACTCAGCTGAAAGCATAATGCGTCAGGCTGCGGGATGAATATGCGGGCAGACCTCCACTGGGGCCACTGGATCTGCTCCCTGATCCATCTCTGCTGTCCTGGTGTCCACCAGGGTCACCCAACACTCTGACTAGTAATCCTGACCCACCAAAAGCATCACTTATGCCGTATCCTCCTAGGTAGCTTAAATTTTCTTCAGTGCTACCCAGACAATTATTGCCCTCTTACCGGAAGGCGAGGTGGGAGTCTGCACTTTCTCCCTCTCATCACTCCCCCATGCAATAAGGATCATCTTACTTCACAGAGAAGCAGGACTGCTCTCCTGTCAGTGCAGCTACTGTAAAGATGGAGCATTTTGCTGCCGCGATCAACTAGAGGCACGAAGCCTTTGTCAGATCAGCTCTTTAGCACAGACGCAAAAAATAATAATTCTGAACACAAATGCCTTTTTAACAACATCACAGGATCCCCTTCAAGCTCAACACCCCCCACAATCTGACATGAAAGTTCTATCCCTCTGTTTATACCTCAGCTGTTTCATACGAGGACTGCCACCCCTGCACCCAGCTCATATGTAAATGCTCATGTATGCGGAAGCTTCTGGAGACGCAGAGAGCATCTCCGCACGACAGCGTCAACATGACAGGCCACCCATCAGCTCTGAAAAACATCCACTGCCAGCTCTCCTTTTATCCCTCTCTGCGCGCCTTGGTTTCTCACAGAGACTCGTTTTCTCACAGAGACTCGTGTTCACCTGTTACTGCAGGAGAACCAGATGTCCAAAAAGGAGGAGACTCACTGTAAAAAACCAGATCATGTTTCTCAGCCCAAGTAAGCATTAAAGATGCATCTAAGCAGAATGAATGCATGAATCTGGACAATTTATCAGAAACAAAACACACGTTCATTCTAACATATGTGCACGTAATAGGATCCCAGATTTGGGACCACATGTGCACGAGGAGATATTCCGAGATAATAAATGGTGTTTAATAAGATAATAAATTTGACCACCGCTAACCTGACAGAGTACTCAAGTAGATCAGAGTGAAAAGAATGAGAAAGGTAGTTTGTACAGTAATAGTTCATGCCTCTGTGAAGATGAGCCTGTTGGTTTCCACTCACTTTCACCTCATTCATTTGCACTGGATGCAGGAACCTCCATTTAACCGAGCAATAAAATGGCGGAGACAGTGTCAAACTGAGGCAGGCATGAGGGAATAGCAAACATCACGGCGCACAAAGACACACGGGACAGTTACGTTCTGTGATTTTACTGTCATTGCAAAGGCTGGCGGCTGATTGACTTAAACACCAGTAAATAGTTCCTTGTATTTGCTTTGTAATGACATATCTTTAGAACTGAACCCTACAGCTGTCTCTAGTTAGTCTGCATAAGTGTGATAGAATAATTGCATAAAATCTGCATAAGTGTGATAGAAAACAACACAGCAAACTTTTATATCGCACACAAGGAATAAAGAGTAAACACGACGTGAACTATGCGAGCTAAACAGCTGTCTGAGTAGACTAGGGCAGGAGATGATTTTGCTATCGTATATACCCCAAGTACCGAGGCAGCCCATAGTACTGTAATAGCGCCCAAGCCCATCTTCATCAAAGGCTACATCTGGCCACAATACACACAATACAACACAAGAGGAAACAGAGAGAAGTGCTGAAGGCACTATCTGGTCAGCTGGCCCTCAGCTTCGGAAATAAGACACGACTCGTACTGGAAAATCACCCAGCATTTGCAAAGAGTATCTCCAATGCTTTGCTGAAGAAGTCATTGAAGTTTATACTTGATTAAGACAAATTCTTCTGACATACCAGATTTTAACAATTAATAAAAATGTGTTAACAGCATAACTAAAAAGGCTTGGCTCTCTAAAAGAAGACAGTATGCACGTGTCCATGGCAACAGCAAAATGCAGGTTACCGGTTCACACAAGTCTTCTCTAAAGCAAAAAGGTGTCATATTTCTCTCCTGCATTGCCTATAATCACATGAATATGAGGGGGCAGTGGGTTATCTCCGTACCTGTGTGGCTTACCACAGTAAACCTGGAGCTCTCTATCGAACCGACCCGCAGGATCGGCGGAGAACACCTTCCATTACCAACCTCCGCTTCTCTATCATCCAACTGACACAGAAAATGAAGGCCCTTCTTCAGTTACACAGAATGTATATATGATGTAAATACAGAGTAACTACATGTGTAACCGTTTCTTGTATGTCGTGACTCGAATATCAACCGAAAACCGCTGCCACGCCCAACGCATGGTTTTTAAAAGATATTAATCATGGCTCTCTCACCTCCATCAACACAAGAGAAATATTTTAGTCTGTGCCATATTGGGAGCAGAGTAATTGGATCAATGTGTTTGCCGTGACAGTCGGACCGTGCTCTCACTGACAGATGGGGCCTCGGCGATGTTCTGCATCTTCTCGTCAACGCGGCTCTGGCTTCCGCGCACGACGGAAGCTCACTGTGCTGGGGGAACGCAGACCTACTGGCCAGCCATGGAGCCGCAGGCTTGCAGAACTGCAGCACATCTCGCCTTCATGCTCTGGACACGTCCCATATACCCCAAAGCATTTTCCCCCAAAGACCCACGAGAACCCCATGGCATGAGCCCACGGGGGGATCCTTTAAACTGAGTCATCATGCTGGGCTTTGTGGATTAATATTCACTACCCCGTGCCAGCTGGGAGAGATACCAGCTCACCCATGAACGTCGACTTTGTTGGTGTGTTATGTACATCACATATTCACCTCCAGGTGTGAGGAGCAACATTTTGAACTTTAATTTTAACCATGCAGTTATTAAATTTGAGAGGTATATCTGTTAGAGGTAGAGTGATGGTGAGTCATCGTTTAAAGTGGGGCAGGACTTCCCCAGTCACTTGTAGCTGACCCAAGAATCTCTGCACTGGATGGGAAAATCATGTACAGTATGATAATAATGTGTCATTGCGGGAGGGGGGGCAGGGGCTGACTCCATGGAGTATAGACATAGACACGGACTCCGGACATGCATTTCACTGTTAATTTGAACAAGGCCCCACTGGAGTGACTATAGGCAGTAAACTCTGCTTAAATCCTATCCTAACCAAACACTTTCACTGTAAACCATGAGCGGTAGCCGCTGTGCATGACGGGAGAGTGATGATGTCACTGCCATGCAAAGTTAGCGGCTCTGGCGCTAGAACGTCCTCCATCTGTGTCATAGAACAACTTTCTGTTCTGAAAATAAAAAAATGATGCTAGGGCAGCGTTGATGTCTGGTCATTTTATGTGTCAGAAAATCACTGGAATGAAACGTTCTCAGCAAAATCACACAATACATACAGCAGCAAGACGGCAGGCAGAAAGGCATGGAAGAGGGCGATGTCTCTCCCCAGGAGACCGCCCCCTCGCTTGGGCTGTACGACTTTGTGGGGAATATCAGGCCTCTGCAGTATTTATAATTATGGTAATTACATATGAGAGGATGAAGGTAATGCTCGCTCATCGCCACCTTAACCTCAAATCAATTTCTCAAGAGTTAAACCATTACCCAGAGTCAGCATGCGCCAACACAAGTGCACACTTAAAATGGAGCTTCTGTAGGCTAATCCTACCTAAGAGGACAGGTCCCCTTTGTATGAATCACTGCTGATGAAAGTACAAAGTACACCGCAATTAAAATGTGGATGTGGAGACTGGTCCACATGTTGTAACACACAGTCCCTTGACGAACCATGAAAGGTGTCTACAATTAGCAGGTAACAGTTAATGACATGAAATATTTATGTCATGGTCGTCTTAAGGCTGTATGCTAAGTATGTCACATATATCTCATCCTAAGACACGACTACAAGGCCTCTGACTGCACTGGACATCTTATGGCCCCAGATCTGGGTTCCCAAACGACTCTTGCGCACACTGCAGTTCACACAATTTAGCAATTCAGAATGCATGACTGATTTCCGACATAATCATTTGCTGATAATGTAAAATGGGCAAAATCTGAAAGAGCGGTGCATTACCTTAGACCATAGAGCACTGTTCCATCTGGATGCAGGCGAATCATTCTGTTTTTGACTGTTACTCCGTGTACAAATGACTTCTTGTCATTCAGGAAGTATGTGTCTGGCACCCAAAGCTGGTCTGCAACTCGGTTATCCAGAGTAAGATTGAGAGGAATCTCTGAATAGGACAATCTCTTGTCTCTCCAGGCTTGCTGAAAGTACATAGTCAGGGTATAATCCTAGAAGAAAAAAGACATCACAATTAACTTGCAGAAATGTTTTTTGAAGAGCACAAACATCTGGATAAACAGCACAGCTACAAAGCAAGTTCACTTTGGCCGTGACATGGACTTTGGATCAAAGGTTCATTAAGTTAGTGACCAAAGCAGCCCGACTCCCTGATAACATTCATCTCCATCTTCATAAGTGCTTCGATAAAACAAAAGAAGCAACTCAAAATATCTGCCAGGAGAAATTTGCCACTTCAGTTTTTAGTGTCCCTCGATTCGCTCTCTAAACCTGACAAGTATCTAAGAGCCCTTGAAAACACTATATATGGTTGTCACCTCTGACCACAAAAATATGATAGAAAACAGTACAAATGGTTTAGTGAACAAAATTACAGATAGCAAGTAAAAAGAAATAGGGTGCATATGAGTTTATAGCAGACACAAGAGTGGTTATTTAAGTAAGTTAAAAAACTGGATGAATGTTTGTTCATTAATTCACATAATGAGTAGTGAAATGAGGCACGTTTGCAGGACATTTATTAAGGCATTGAGTCTGATTACTGTATTACGAAGCCCGTTAGATGTATACTCTAAGAGGCTGTACTGAAACGTTCTTCCAGGACATGAAGACCTTCTGCGGTAAATAGGTTAACATTCAAGTCCCTGTTCAGATTGTCAGTGTAACAAACGCCAAAGAGCTTCTACGCTGGCCGAATTCCAGGGCATTGATCATCACAGAACTTGTCACCCGGGTCCCCAAAACCAAGTTCTGATACCACTATGTGACTATGCTTTTTAAACTTATTTTCCTGAGTGAGCTTCGACTAAGGAAAAGCAAGACAATACTCACTTCACAGCAAGCAAAATCATGCACTGTGTTGAAATTAAATACACAAACAGTCCTTCAGTATGTTCAAGAAGCCAATGTACAAGCCAGCCTGATGCCTAATTAGCACAAACCTGAAGTATAACCAGAAAGCTGAAAATGCAGCCTCTGACTGGATATTGTTGACGGGTAAACACAGCAGTTTATGACGGCTGTGCATTTAGGCACTGCTCATCCTGTGTTCCACACCGAACCCCAAACTCTACAACTGCACAGCTGAAACTGTGATTTGCAATATTTAATTAAAAAGCAGAGTGACTGCAGCATGTCCACTGGGTCATCGCTAGCAGGTGTTTCTGAAAGACGTCACAGCGCCCCCTGGAGGTGAAACAGTGGCAGGAGGGCAGCTAGCAGGGACACCAGCAGGCACAGATTAGTCCGGCCATCCGCTTCCCTTCCCTGCCTCTTCTCGCACTCATCTCGTGCTGTATGAAAGTTTTCACTTTCATCCATGGTGAGGTCAGGTTGGGGGATATGTGGCCCAGTCCCACCCTCTGGAAATGGTTGTCTGTGTGTTACGTGGGCGTCCCCTCGGCCTGGTCCAGCCACTCAGATCCTCAGCAATGAGGATCCTGTGAGCCGGATCACCCTCAGGGAATCGCGCCACATGGCCATAGTGCCGTAACTGACACTCCCTCACACTGCAGGTAATGTGCCTCATTCGGGACTCCCAGAGCAACTGCCTGAGCAATTCTACAGAATATTTTACCTAGTGAACCAAACGTTAAAAAATAAATTGTATTAGTAAACTGTCATGATGTGCTGGGACGAGAGCAGAGCTGTGGCATACAAAAGAAAAGAGATATAAAAACAAAGATTTATTTTTTGTAAAATATCCTGCATCATCATAACTGGGACACTAAAGTAAATAGATCCCCTACTGTTAAAACTAAAATGCTTCAATGTTCTTTGCGATCAATGTACTTCACACCTTTTGCCAGACACATTAAACTTTGTCACAGCAATAAAAAGTGCATTTATAGATTTTTATCTGCCAAAACTTTTTAATGGAACTGAATGATATTTATGAGGTGTTTCAAGTATCCTGGTGGATCTGAAGAGTGTTTTAGGAAAAGCACTAATTATGTTGGCCTCTGCTGGGGGGCGGGGGGGGGGGGGGGGGGGGGGTGGGCACTTTGAAGCTGATGGTGCCCACTGGATCTGGACCAGAATACTCTGGGAAAAAGTAAGTTATTTGTAGAGAGCCCAGAATAATTCTAATCCAAAAGTGAAAAGCCAGCGAAGAGTAAAAGTACGGGAAGAAATTACATAATTTACATCAAGGAGAATCCCAGTTTATGTTTAGAATATGTCTACTGGGCAACACACAGAAAATACAAAATATGCATGAATCCCAGAAAGGCAGCAGCTAGCCGTTTGGAATGGTTTCATTATTTATTTTCAATCCTGTTTCCAAAGACACGTCTAGTGGAAAACCATGTCCTGAGAACGACATCCTGAAACGCATCATCAGAACCGTGGGGGCAATGTTTACTGTGCAGTTGGCAGATTCTCTGGGGCTCGCAGGGGCTGCTGAAGTCCTCTGTGCCTCATCAGGCACGTGACACGCCACACGGCCGTCCGGGCGCCCAGATTAGCGATGCTCATCTTCTTCACGTCTGTCGGGAGCTGATGGGATTTCCTTTCTTAGCTGACATCGCTGAAGGAGTTTAATTAGACCTTTCTGATCTTCAAAGAAAATAAGGACGCCCCCTGGTGACCATCTCTTCAGAGTGCTGAGAGGTCACCTTCGTCTCTGTGAGAATACTGATAACGGTCCCGTGATTCTTACACGCAAGGCCGGGGAAAAGCCGTTTAAATGCTCATATCTGCTGAGGAAACACAAATCCCATTGTGCAAAATCAAATCCTATAAGCCATGCTATATAACAGGTAATGATGGGCACTGAAGTATATGACACATTATAAGCAGGTTACTGTTGTGTACAGTATATACGCAGGCAACACTGGTGTAACACCATAGCCTTCCTGGCCATTCCGTAAACATTTAACTGGCAAAACCCTTGTAGGGGGTTTTAATTTCATCGCTAAGCTTGCTCTGTGTCACGATCCTCTTCACGCGTATCATGCGCGCTCGTCACCAACACTTCAGCACGTTTGAAGAAGGGTGTCCTTGAAAAAGCAATATTGCCTCTCCACAGGAGTGACCTAAAACGGGCAAGGAAGGATAGACATTGACGGAAGATTACAAGCAGGGAGTCGGATGGTTCAGCTGTCAGCTGGCGTCTCGTCGAGCGAAGCATTCAAGGCCTCCGAACGGAGCAGGAGAGAATCGACAGTCTGGGTAATGGACAAGCGAGACCCGGACAGACCAGGAAACCTTGATGGAGGCTCTACATCCCGGATAAGGATCAGTATCCTGGGAGAAAACGATCCGTCTGTAGGACTAAAGGAGCAGAAGCATAGGCTGCTATTACTCTCCACAAAAGACCCCCTAACATGGTTACAGCCCCCTACCAGGGAGGTAAATAGCAAGTTTTCACACATGCAGCAAAATTCAGGCATAATTCCAAAGCACTGCATACTCCACTCAACATAATTTGCTTAGAGACTGCCTAACACATTTCAGAGATATTATGGGATGGAGCAGAACTACATCACTCTAAGTGATTAACCTTGGTGTTTATAAATTATATAGTTTTATTTTGTGATTTATTTGTTCATTTCAAGTCACTTGCGCAGTAATTAAGATTCTGCTCCTGTAACCCTTTTATATTATCAAGAATAATGAGAAATATTTCATTAACCAACTTCCAGCTACTTATCCTGGTCAGGATCACGCGATTATAAATATTTGTTATCCTGGGGTATCTTACAAGGCTTCCTGATTGGTTATTAATCCAAGGGCAAAATATTAAGATCAAAATGGTCCTATGAAATAGCCGGTCTTGGTGTGAGATGCTAGAGTAGAATATGGTTTAGAACATCAAGCCAGTCATGGCGTCTTCTTACAGTGCTCATGCTATGAAGGTAACGGAGGTAAACACAACATGATGCCCCCCCCTAAGCTGACAGCACCACCAAGCTCACTCCTTTAAACCAACCGGGACAGAACAGGGGCTGGGGAGGGCAGGGCAAAATCGGAGTAATGAGGATGAGAGCCAGATCTCACTCCCACAGCTCTCTGGGCCCATGTACGCCTACTCTCTCTACGCTCACTCCTCGCTGCGGCACCCTGTCGCACAACAACACAAAGCTGAGGTACAAATTGTGGTGCTTTGTTTGCACGTAAAAATAAACGGTGAAAGGGGATCTGACGCTGAATTAAACAAAAGCGGCATCTTAGCATCGCTGGACGGCTTTTCAGAACCACCACACTCATTTATCACAAATTAATTTCATAACTCGAGTCCCCTTGCCTATTCTGTGCTGACTTGTAGTGTACATTTAACCACTGAGTGACTTTGTCCGGGTTTTTAAAGCAACCATCTATGTTTATACATTTTCAAGACTCTGCATGTCAATTTATGTCGCTCAATATTACATAACAAGTCACTGCCATAGAATGAATAACCACCTACAGAGCACCCCCCAAACACGCTGCCTTCTCAGCCTGTAGTATAGAATATATCAGCCGATTAATCATTATATAGAGTGCAGCTTATTTTTAAGCAGATGACGCATAGCCTCCCAGTGACCACAAACCACTCTACTTGCTAATGTGTTCTTTGATTACTACTCAATGCCGAGCCACTGGGTTTCCGTCAAGTGTTGTCTAAATTGAGATTCTATCATTTGTAATACACAGAGACCAATAAACACTGTCATAATTAAGGGATTCAAGTCAATAAGCAATAGCCTTTTGGCATAATACATAATGAAATCATCGAAAAACGAAAAAAAAAACAACACTATTCTTGGGTTGACAACACATGTATCAAGATAGAAAGATGATTGGCTGATGATTTCTGTGACTTCTGTGATAAAAACAATGGAGACAATAAATCTATGACGTATACGGCAATGATAATTATCCACTGTAATAAGATTAACGGATATCTGTGGCGAGGAGAAAGCTCAGGAATGAAGAGCGTTGATTGATTGCTTCTGTCACTTCCTGTAGGCATGCAAATCTTACCAGACCGGAGGCACCATCTGTAGAT